TAGAACATGCAGAAACTAAGAAATTAATTTTTCTATTTAGATATTTATTTTGTTAAGGAAAAATAATGGTCTGGTTTCTACAACTTTCATTTTGGTGCAAAAATCTGGCTTTAAACTGGAAAGAAATAAAGATTTGACATTTATCATGATAATTATCGATATCGACTGATATGAAAAAAATTATCGTAATAATTTTTTTGACCATATCGCCCAGCCCTATATTTAATACAACTATAAATAATTATTAAAAAGCATGTTCGGTTTTGGTTTTCTGCCAAGTGCATCCAGAATTTTCATTTTGATGCATCCCTAATTAAATCGCATACGACTGCTGTAAATTCATTGGTTAAAAAGAGTGAGAACCTTGCAAAACATTTAGCTCCTAAAACTGAAATTAAATTTTACAGAAACTAGTAGTGTCTTCACATTTTAGTAGTGCCTTCAGATATTGTGGTGGACAATGGATGACCTTGGAGTCAAAACACTAAGAACCACTGGAGTACAGTATTTTTTACTTTGATGTTGTCAATGACAAAAGGGAAGCTGAAATGCATAGAAATCCCATTCCAGATTTTTGAGTTGGAGGCTTGGAGCAAATAGAGATCTTTCTCTTGTGGTTTAGTTTGAATGTGTAGTTTGGTTTGTTTGCAGGACTCTGCATGTGAAAAGACCACTGAGGTCATTTGGCAGGCCAGAAAGGAAAATGCTAGTTATAACCTACCAAACCTCATTTTTAACCCGAAGATATTTGAAACCACAATATGAGACTGAAAATGTAGTCAGTACTGAACATAGAAAATCTCTTAGGCTACATATTTCCTCTCGGGAACTAAGATGCTATCTAATTCAATTTTACAAGCAAACATTTCATTGAATCTGGAATTAGTTCCCTGTGTTAATTCCTCCCAGTGGTACATGACAGCAGTTTCTCTGTGTAGATTATTGTCAGAAGCTTTTGTCTGCTTTGTTTGTGTCTCATTCTTTTGGATGCGCTTAGACTTGAGGCTGCATCCTAATTCAAATACTACCCATACTACAATTGACTAAGCAGTCTCAGGGAAGCTCTGTATAATTTGGGTTTTGGTCTTCACCTTCAGTTGATCAAAAGCCTTTCTAGGGGTTGTGTATGTAAGACTTGAACGGCTTGAGCATTAATGTACAGCTGGATGGAGTTTTGAAAAGTTGTTTTGAAAGTTTGAAAGCTTTTTTTTTTTGTCGCACCATTTTAAAGGGATAGTTCACCCAAAAATGAAAATTCTGTCATCATTTACTCACCCTTGCTCCAGAGTTGTTCAAAACCTGTATGAGTTTCTTTCTTCTGTTGAACACAAAATATATTCTGAAGAATGTTGGTAGCCAAACAGTTGATGGTGGTCATTGACTTCCACAGTATGGAAAATAATATACTATGGAAGTCAATGGCTACAAGCAACTGTTTGGCTACCAACATTCTTTAAAATATCTTCTTTCCTTATACTATCCCTTTAATGACTACATCCAAAATTAAAACTAAAGGTTAGTCAACATTACTAATCACCTAGTCAGTTCTTGGACGACTAGTCGAACATTGTGACCCATACCTAATAGTAGTGATGGACTGATATAGAGCCCGACCGATATGGGTTTTTTGGGGGCCGATACCGATATTAGGGAGTAAAAAAAGACCGATGCCGATATATCGGCCAATATTCTTTGTGTAGGCTATATTATAGTACAGTATAGTCAAAAGTTTGGACACACTTCTCATTCGTGTGTGCAAACTTTTGACTGGTACTGTATATAGAATACAGTATATAGCCTACATAAACAGAATATATAATATATATATAAACACATTTTTTGCAATGATAACTCAAATGTGGTGATCAAACACTTATAATGATGTGACAAACATAGGCCTATGTAGTGGAGGGAGGGTATTTAACAATTTAATAAACGTATTAGCCAATGGCTAATGTTAGACATTATTTAGTCGCCCAGAGTAAGATTTAGTCGCATATGCGAGTGATTTACTCGCAATGTAGAGGGTTGTAAATTGATGTTAAATTGTTTAAGTTTCATGATTTTAATTAATTAGACTTGCTTTTTGATTAATAAAATTTAATTTAAACACTTAGGGGAAACACTGACTATAATGTAACAGTCTACCGCTAGCAAGCGGCTAACCATGACCCTTTAGTGGCTCCATAGAACGCGTTATTTGTTTTCCATGCCTTTCTGCATACGGATTCACGCTTCGGGCACACCCCGTGCAAAATTAGCCCGTGCACATTCCGACTCATTTTGCCAGCACGGGTCACAAATAGCTTTATTGTTTTGTGCTTAATTGCATAAAAAGCTTACTTGTATAGTGTGGATTATTGCTCCCTCAAAGAGAGAGAATTACAATATATGCCATTTCCTTAATCATTTGTTCTGACAGTGTAAATTTGACCCTCTTTTAGTCCACTGTCCAGATGTAAAAAAAATCCAGTGGTCAGTGCTGTGATATGATTTTCTCCTGCTTTGCGCACACGCATATCACCCATAACAAGGCGAAGTTGCTTTGAATGAGTTTTCTGCCCTGGTGTCTGCTGCGAGTCATGTGAAATGTTGATGTTGTATTTTTTAGAATGGATAGAAACTAACCAGGAACCTTGTCTGTGATATATGCGATCGGGGTCTTCATAGGGGCTTCTGCTGTTGTTCTGAGTTAAATGTCTCCATGTTCTCCCACAGGTGTGAGCTGTGATGCGTGTTTAAAAGGGAACTTCAGAGGACGCCGATACAAGTGTTTAATTTGCTACGACTACGACCTTTGTGCATCTTGCTACGAAAGTGGAGCCACAACAACTAGACACACCACGGAGCACCCAATGCAGTGCATACTAACCAGGGTAGACTTTGGTAAGCCGTCATGTCCAATAATGCCATATTTTCACTCTTTATTTTCACATCATTATTTCTTATATGGCTCAGCTGCTCTGTTGTATGTATGTATAGGGCTGGGTATCGAGGGTATCGGTATCGGTATCGATATCGAAAAATTTTGAACGATACCCAGCCCTATGTATGTATGTATATCACTATACGTGGCAGGCGACTTGTCAAAATAAAAGCTTGATGGTTTAATTGTTAAAAAAATGAAGAGATTAAGACATAACGATTAGTATTGTAATTGTATGTGATGTATTTATTTGTATATAATACTTAAATATTTTAATTTAATTAAAAAAATGTTTTCAATACAGAAGTTACAATATTACAATATATTATTTTGTTTAATATATTATGTAATAATAATCACAATAAATTCACTATTATTATTACTATCTTGTAGTCCTAATATTTTATAGGATTGGTCAAAAACAGTGGGAATGTGTCCTGTGAAAGCTTGTTGGAGAGAGTTTTTTTGTGTGTAACTTTTCAATTTATGGTCATTGAAAGAGGTTTTAGTTGGTTCTTGTAAAGAGTAAACCCAAGTGTGGAGACCCAAATTAAAAAAAATTAAAAAAGTTTCTCTCAAATCATGGAGGCCTAAAAGAAAAGAAAAAAATACTATTTTTATATTGCACATTAGAACAAATGACCCAACTCATTCTAGAATGGTTAATTCTTTTCATATATAGCAATTTAAGTCATCAGGTGAACGTTCCTGTATTTTTTCATATCACAATATATATCACAGAAAACCTAAATATACCTAAATAAAATGTCAATTTTGTTTAATATCAGCCTTACAAGAAAATCAGTTTCTAAAAAACTTTTTATTGTAATGTAGGGATGTAACGATTAACCGCGAGCCGGTTGAAAATAGATTCAAATATGTGACGATTCAAATCGGTTGAGATGCTAAACAAATCGCGATACAATTGGAGTAGGAGTTTATATAAATGTATCTCTGAGGGGAACTGACTATCTTTAGAAAAGTTTAGTTGATGTTTTCTTTTTATCTCATCTCTGTATAATTCATATTAAAGTAGTATTCATAAGCGCAGCTCTGCTTTGTTTACAGCGGTAACCCAGGAAACACTGTATCATTGCTGTTCATAAGGGCCACCTGCTGGCAGAGAGTGAATCAGCGTCTCATTCAGCTCGTCTGCTGTTTCCTTCAGATATGTTTTATGTAGCAAGAATCAACGCTAAGGAATTTTTCTACTGGCCCAGTCGGGGCAGTGGTTTAAATTTTTACTTGCCCTGCCAACATTTTCCTCGTCTGCTGTTTCCTTCAGATATGTTTTATGTAGCAAGAATCAACGCTAAGGAATTTTTCTACTGGCCCAGTCGGGGCAGTGGTTTAAATTTTTACTTGCCTTGCCAACATTTTCACTGGCCCTGCCACAAAAAATAAAATTGTTGCTGTTTTCATTGTTTTTGATCTTATCTTGTATTCTAATAAATAAGCTTATATGACACCAATATTTTAGATCACACACACACACACGGTCTTTCTCCGTACAACACTCAAGCAGTGGCAATGACATCTGAGAGCCAGCGGTTTGTTTGTTTTTTAAATGTCGTGATTTTGAACAGATGTAAACAATGGCAGGAGGCTTAAAAGTATAGACGTGATACCAGCTAAATTTAATTATTGTACTAAATCGCAGAAACGTAGTACTTTAGTCTGCTATTCCTCACTCTGTGAAGTAATGTTAACGTCAGGGAGCAAACTAGTTGACGTTAGCTAGTTAATTAGCCATGTTATCTGCCTTGGTAGCAAGCCAAATAGTATTTATTTCAACACTGAAACAAACGGCAGGTGGGTCTCTGTCTTGATCGGGGGTGAAAGATGACACAGATATGTAGTTTATGTACGACCTGGAAGTGTTTATTTAGCGATCGGCGCTAAAACGTCATCTGTACGGAACATCATTGTGTATGGAACATGGTTAGTCTACGTTACCCGAATAATTCACCTCTTTCGGCCATCCCACACACAGGTGACTCTCACTGACTGCTCGCAGCAACCGGAGGGGGAGGGGTCGTG